ATTGGAATAACTTAAATGTCCAGCTGATGTTGAAATTGCAAAGATTAAAAACGGTCAGGATGTGCCGTAAATAAATTAATTTCATTGAGTTTGTCGATATTTCATAAAACATAAGAACATAATTTTTTTACTTTACTTCCTAACTATTGAAGTAGCTATCGGAAAATTAAAATCTTATAAAGCAGCGGGAACCGATCATATTACTACTGAACTAATTAAGGCTTGCGGAGAAGCTGGAGTTTCTAAAATACATCGGTAAGTTAAAATGATCTGGGAGAATGAGAAATTACGTATTATTTATTATTTATTTTATTTTGAACCCTTCCCCCCCTGCCTGAAGGCAATACGGGTATTTGCAGCAGTGGGATGTTACTGTTACATAACAACCTGCAATACTGCTGCATTTTTGGCTATTACATTATTTTCTGAGCTGTGCACACAACTTGCTCTTCTCTTCACTTGCATCTGGTTTACTTTTCTTCTTATTCTGGTGGCCTCCCTGGTGCAGCTTCTCTTCTTCTTCCCAAAGAGAAGTGGGTTGGTAAAACAACTTCTTTCCATCCGTATATAAAACTTTTGAAGTGATCGTATCTTTCTTTGGCCATAAGTTGAGGAAGATCTCTCTCTGTTAGGAAAAAGAGACCAGTTTCTCTCAACAGTTTCGCCCTCAGTGACTCATAGACCGTACAGGTAAGTACAACATGTACAGCATGGGGGATCGATATTTATACCATACTGAACGAGCTTTGCTCGGAAACCCCCATTCCCCGTGAGAATCTGTGAAATCCAGTAGTCCGGGAGGACCCAAGTCGCTTCTAGTCGCGAACTGACGGTGGGGAAGTACTTCTTTAGAGTAGCTCCTTTGGGAGTCGTCAACCACCGTCGGTTCCAGTCTTCTACTGTATCCTCCCGGAGAATCTTCTTCCAGTTTCTTGGATCATCTCTTATTCTCACTCGGAGGTAATCCGGTAGAGCCGCTAAGCATTCTCTCCTAATCTTATAGCGGTAGTAGTCTTCTCTCAACAGGAATTACCTGAAGAATGGAAAGAATCTATTCTTATTCCGATTCACAATAAGGACACGAGGACGGATTGTAATAACTATCGAGGAATTTCACTCCTTCCGGTATATTATAAAATATTCAGTTTAATGTTAACTAGCAAAGAGGTGGAAACTATAAAACTAAATACGACAACGTTAATGAACGCCAGTAAAGAACTAGGGCTCTAAATAAACACGGATAAGATAAAATATATGGTCAGATACAAAAATGGCGATATCACTGGTGATATCGATATAGATGGTAATATATTTGAACAGAGAAGTTTAGGTATCTAGGGTCTACGATAACCAGAAAAAACGAAATTGAAGAAGAGATTAAGGTTAGACTGAAGGCGGGAAATTCTTGTTATTTTTATATGACAGAACTACTTAGCTCGCTCTTCTTGTTCCGGAACTTAAAAATTGGAATCTACAAAACCATTGTCTTTATCTATAGTTCATTAAGAACCTACAGTTCTTTATGGTTGCGAAAAGTGGCCGCTTACATTAAGGGGTGAGCAACGTCCTAATGTTTTTGAAAATAAAGTATTGCGTAGAATATTCGGAGCGAAGAAGGATGAATTGACCGGAGAGTTCAGACGGTTACACAACATCGAATCGCATGAACTTCATCCGGATAATATAATTAAGATGATTACATACCGGCGAATCAAATGGGTTTGTAAAATTGTTGGGCTTAGTAACGAGACAATTCCTGAAAGGTTAATAATTGCTGCACCAAATGGTAAACGTCCGAGGGGTAGACCGAAACGAAGGTGGGAAGATTGCGTTAAAGTTGATCTGAAACGACTAGGTTTGAACGGTGAACTGTGGAGGGAGGTGTGTAATAAACGATTGGTGGTGTCGGCATCGAACCTTCGGGTTCGCTAAGCCTTTTATTATTATTATTATTTATTATTATTACTTCTTAACTCTTTTTGATCCTTTCTTATTTATTTTCTATGATATAGAACTAGTGACACTGAATTATATTAACATTTATTGTTAATCTGGTCATTATAGTTATTATTATGCTTGCCTTTGCGCAACAGGTATTGAGAAAGGTAAACAAATATTTCCTAATGCTCTCACGTCAACGGATGCAGCTATCGTTTGTTAATTAGTAATTATCTCAATGAAGATATTCGAACAATTTCAACAAATTAAAAAATCCGAACAATTTGCAGTGGAGCTAATGCACATAAACAATATGTCGCTCAATCAATGCGTATTTATATATTTAAAATACATTGTCTGACAAATAATAATTAGATTACAGAGTTGTGTAATATTAAAATAAAAATAAAGAGCTATTCTAAATATACACAAAGTACAACGAAATTATAGGTGAATTGATTTTTGCATGGTAAGCAATATAAATAATATGATTGTTAACTTTAGAATCATATTGGTAACACATTTAATTGTTATTCGAATTTAATGTGAAATATTCGAAGAGTGATGGTTGAGGAAATGGAAAACAAGAAAGCACTATAAAGGTGTTTCAAAATAGACTGTCTTATAATAAGGGATATATAGGTTTGTGGGATCTAGTGTTGAAAGAATGGGCTGAGGAGCAAGGAGAGAAAAATACAAGACGGTACGAAGGTTTTCTGGTTGTAAAGATTCGGTAAAGGAATACACCTAGGAAACATTCTTGTCTAGAAACTGAATATAGCAACTTCAACTTGGAATCCCGACAAACGACGTGAGAGCGCCATATTTCGTTATAGATATTTAAAAGATATTTTCTGCATTGTTCAAAATGTCATTGCCATAGACTGCATTCTTGATGTATATCATGGATATATATCAGTAGCTTGAGGAAGGTACTTTTCTAAAATGTGTGGCAATGGCTTCAGAAATTTCTTGTGGATCAATAAATATTTGTTCGTTAATATCAAGTCCTGAAATTAGGTGATGCTTCCTAATTTCTCTTATGGCGCTGTTCTTGATCCACATAGCATTCACAGCGGTAAGGCAATCTATGAAATAAATATATTGTTTACACGATGCTTCCATGCTATAAATAATTGAATAGTAGACAATAAAATTTAATTATAATATTTAATAACACCAAAAAATAACATCGAATGCATACCTACCTCCTACACAACTACTGATCCTGCCTTCAGCTAACACTCCTAACCATATCGAACATTTACCACAACGTTCTAACCAAAATCCGCTTTTCAAACAACATCCGACATACAAAACTACTGCCCTTCCATGCTTCCTATTAGAACTACAAGATATTATACAATTTTATAACTTATATCACCCTTCTCACCCCACTTCTGACCGAAATCCTGTGTTCTTCTATGAATGCCAAGCCCGTAGCTATCCTTTTATAGAATGCTAATGGACGATATAAACACCATGAAGAGCTTTTTTTCTTCAAGTCTGACATTTTTCGTCATGTCGTACGTATTGATTTCGCTTAACAGACTGAAATTCATCTCACAATTATACGTTCATGACTGCATCACTTACAAATATGACCACCCAGATAACACTTCCTACGCCAGTTCTCTCATCGTTATACGTACATCTTTATCCGATTCCTCTATTTCTCCTACTCCAACTGATTCAATAAACTTCTGTAATCCTTTCAACTCGTCCTTTCTATTTATCATTTTCAGCTATATACTGTCCTTCCGGTAATTCCCTATCTTATAGCCTTTTTGATTCCTTATTCTAATCCCCCGGATCGCGCTTTATTACTGCAGGAGACTACAATGCAAAATACTAACGATGGGGTTGTTGAACATCGAACTTCCGTGGTAACATCTTTTCAGGTGTTTCATCTTCCAACTAATATGCTATCCTCTTGCCCGTTCATGAGGGTTACATTGGAGCGCAGAATGTACTTCACGGGAGTTTTTCTCGACGTTGAACAGGCACGCGTGATAGAGCCTGGCACTCTGGGCTGATGTGCAAACTCCGCCAATTTCTACCATCTACAAATTTCCTCATTATTCATTCCAATATTACTGATAGATACTTAAAAGTATACAGCAACAATACCTATTCATCCATTTTTTCTCAGTCTGCTGGTGTTCCTCGAGGTAGTATACTAGCACATTTCCTTTACGTAGTTTATACAGCTGACATCTCAAACTATACCAACATTATCATCATCATATGCGGATGAATCATGTAACCCATCAATTAATAACGATCCATCAATTGCATCCCAAACTCTTCAATCACATATCACAAAAAATGAAGAATGGTGTCAAAATTGGAGAATTAAAATAAATCCCATCAAATTACCTTTACTCTTCGTCGTAAATGTATGACATCCTGTCCTACAGTATCCTTTAACAATACCTACTTATCCCTGTTGAACAAATGCGATACCTAGAACTCCACCTGGACAACTTGGAATCCTTACACATGAGTGAAATGAGCAGAAACTTCTCGACGTTTTCGACTATTCTCGCACTTACCTGAATAACGTTTTAATTTTCAATTAATTACAAAAACTCATACATTTCGATTACTTCGTTTCATGAGGCTATCTTGAAGTATGTAATTTTTTTTCAATAAATTTGGCTGTACGCCTACTAGGAATATATATACCGTCAACGACGGGTAGATCAGCTATTAGTGATATAATAATAATAAAAATTTCTACCTTAAAAATTTTTCATGATTTTTGACTTTTGTAGTCGGATAGCTGTCTACGTCATCTGGTTATATATCAATAGATTATTCCGTGTTATGAGGCTGTTGCCAAGTATGAAAATTTTATCTTTGGCAGTAAGTCTACTAGGAAAATATAAGTTGGATACTGGATAAGTGGTGTGTGTGAGTCTAGGCTTACCTTAAATGGCCAAGTAATTACTTACAGAAGCCGGTGACTGTTTACAGAGAATATGAGAGTGTGTGTGTGAGAGAGAGAGGGTGAGAGAGAAGGGGAGGGGAGCTATCAAAGATGCGTGAGTGGCCACAATCTAATTGCCCCCGCACTCAGCCGTCTCGAGGTCAGCACAATACCTCTTGCTCTTATTTTGTCGTCTGAGGGTACGACATTCCCCAACAGCCTCATCGCGCCAGTTATGATCCCTTAATTGGCCTAATAGCGGCAATAAACCAACCTGCTAATGATACGGGATACAACGGGTGCGCTAGTCACAGCTCGAGTCATCCATTATCCTGGCCGGAGGATGAACAAGGTCATGTCATCCTGAAGGATCAGTCGGTCTCTTTCTTAATCAGAAATAATGGAGAATATTTATCAAAGAATCGGGTACAATATTGTTTTGTTAAGACTCAAAATATAACTCGGCATCATAAATGATCCTTAGGTTCGAAAAATAATATAAGTACTGTGTTATAAATAAACACTTTTATTTGTTTTACGAAGCTTAAACAAATTTTCATAATGAATTTTAGTAATTATAAAACGTAAACATGGGTATTTTGCTTGTCAGAATTTTGACACTATATATATGGCTAACAGGTGGATTTCTAATATCAGGTAAGAAGATTAATATTTTTATGGTGATGGATCTTATGGTCGAAAGCCAATAGAAGAAGTATGCTATAATACTTGGGCGTAACTATAGCAGACTATTTATCTTTATTGAATCATTTGAAAGAAAAACTCAAAGTATCATCAAACTCTTAATATGATGAGATAGATGATCATATTAAACAAGTGAGTATCTTTAAAGCAAAAAACATTAATCGTCAACTACTCGGTGTGAGCTTTGTGTTACAGGCAAAATCCTTGGATTATCAAGAGTTAAAACATCCGAAAACAACAATGATATTTTCTAAAAAATGTGGGCTATGTTGGGACATTATAAAATTTTTGAATTGCATTTTTAATTGTGCTCAAGCTAAACGCTTACATCTAACAAATCATAAATATCGATAAAATAACAAAAGTCCTATTTATTATATCACCGGTTGATTATAGGTTGTGCGATCCGTTGGATTATGGATTGTAGGACTATTACTTAATAAACTTCTATTTTCCATTGCAAAGTTTAACTAATATGAAATTAAGAGATCTGCATTGTTTGTCATATACAGGTCAAAAGTTGTCACACTAATTGGAAGTGGATACTGTGAAATATCACAAAGGGAAAATTCATCAAATTATTCGCCTCTGTTAAGCTGATTTTAAGAAAACAGTTGCTGTCACATCTAAGGCATTTACCTATCTTAAATACGTAATATCAGTTTCGTATTAACTTATCGTTTTTGAGCTAGACTGCTAACATACACACACACGCACTGACATACAGACACACGGACGCACAGACCATTTTGCGGGACTTGGTTATTTAGACCTAGGTTAACTCAAAACGTGTATTTCCGTTGAATACTCATGTTCGGAAATTTTCTCGATCGCAATACTTTCCCTAACTATATATTACATATATAGATAAGTGAAAATAAAAAGGTGGATCGGTTCCAAAATAATAATAATAATAATAATAATAACCCTTATTTGTGCATACAATGAAAAAACAATGGATAAAAATATACAAAATCTCTTATATGTACAAAATCAACTTAGTTGAGGTTTTGAGTTCGATTTTTCTTTTTTATACTTAACTTTCTTGTAACCACACTAGGTAATGAACCTGATCCATCCTTTTCCATTCTTTCCTCTCTAATGCTACTCTCTTCCAGGCTGCTCCCCCGCACGTCTTCTTCATCTCCTTGTCCCAGTCTGTCGGCGGGCGTCCTCTCTTTCTCACGTGCTCTCTTGGATACCAATCCATAAACTGCCTGGTCCATGTTAATTCATTCCTCCTGATTACATGTCCGGTCCAGTTCCACTTCCTGATGAGCACTTTTTACACAATATCTGGAAGGTCAGTCTTAGCTCTGATCTGATAGATAAGTGAAAGCAAAAAGGTGAATCGGTTCCAAAATAATACTTTTACGTACTATATATATATATATATATATATATATATATATATATATATATATATATATATATATATATATATATATATATATATATATGTAATATCTGGAAGCAGGATTTTATAATATATACACTCATATTTTAAAGTGGCACATTGTGTACTATATGTAAAATAAACGTTTCCATCTATTTATTTACTGCACTCGGGAAGTGCAAGGACAAAGCTTGTGGAATATAGTCGTATGTGCATATTATATTAAACTTATAGTTAGATATAAACAGTTAAAATAAAATTATAAAGAATAAGAAAAAATAAAACAAAAACTATCTATTAATTTCGCGATCTGAATTCGCGGTTACTTTGAATAATCATGTTCATAAAACAGAATTCGACTTCGAAGTAGGAATAATAAATATGGGATCTGAGATACCTATAATTTACTCCATTTGTACTTCACTCCAGCACTACAATAGTATAGCCAATGATAAAATATTTTTTTAATGATAGTAGCAGTATTTTAATTTCGAACTCAGCAATATTTTATTTAAAAAGTAATTGTTGTTTTTTTTCATCATCTTTTTGATAGGATAGAACCTCTTTCAAAACGGTGAAGGTATTGGCAAAAAATCATGCACGCCGATGTAGGTTGTATAGGCAATTTACCGTTACTTTGATTCGCCGAACTACTTACTCGAAGTTTATACTTTCCAAAAAGGGGAGAAACTGTCTAATAAGGAAATGAGAGGCAAGCGAACAAGGGAGGCCGTTGACGTGATACATGAAAAAATTTTCCTTTCTTCCTCATTTTTTTGCCAGTTTTTAGGCCTACTGTTATGCGTGATATCGCAATAATTGCTACTAAAAAATAATTGTTTCATGCACTAATAGCTAGAGGAAAAATATTTTAAAAAGAAGAAATTCTGTAAAAAAAATCATCATAATATTGTTGAAATAATAGTTTTGCGAAATCATATAGTATTGTGATTATTGATTTTATTTTCCACAATCCTAAGGGGAATCTAAAAAACTCCAGAGATCGGAGTAACAGTGAAAGCACTCTTTCGGAATTGAAATTCATAAAATATAAATTCGACATATGGTTCGGCAAAAAAGACGCACTTACAAAAACTACAGTCATTTCAATCCAAAATTTTAGGACTTATAACAGGAGCTCCCTGGTACGTCAGCAACAAAACTTTACATAACGACTTACGACAACCAACTATAGACCAACACATACGTACTCTCCACTCTCGTTTTCATCTCACACAATAGTACGGACACACAAACAAATTTATAACCGACATTGATATATATATATATACATTGGGCTACGACTGACATGCCCATCAGGAGGAGATTAAAAAGGAGCTGGATGAGAGATCTTCTCACCTAAATCAAAAAAATAAATAATGACCAGGAAGAGGAGCTGCTGGGTACTATCCTTCCTCATGCCTTTAATGCCTATCCTCATCAAGAGAACACATCTGCTGATTGTCCACACCATGACAGGTGCGGATAAATAATTAAAGAGAAAAAAAAATTCGTAATTGATTCCAATGAGTTAAATGTATGTCAACAAGCTCATATATACGCTACATCTCGTTACCGTTACTTTCTCATTGTCGAAGATTTTTTATTTGAACGGAAAATGTTTGATATCAATATATCAACAAATTGTGTTATCAAACAATTTTTTTTGTGTTTTACGTTCGACGGACGAATTCTGTTCCGTATCTTTTTTTTTCCCTACCTTTCGGATAAACGTTTTTTCTCGTCCTGTGTTTATCTATAGTCAAATCCACATCATTTATCCGATTTTTATATATTCCCAGATGTGATGCCATATCAATATTATTCAATTCCATCTCCTACTTTTCTTAGACAGATTTCACAAACTTGGAGATTAGTGATTATGCTGTATCAATGCTACTTATACAAACGTATTTTTCGTTGATTTACATATGTAATCCAATCCATGATTACATATGTAACTTTTACTCTCACAGGTATGATATATATACATATGAATAGGTTTACATATGTAATTCTATAATTCATTCGCTTGTATATAAATTTCTCTTATTTGACTAATTTCTAACCAATTGAAATTGATTGAAAATTATAGAAAAATTATGAAGTTGGTATACATTTTATCAAAGTCCACACTTAAAAAAAAGAAACTATTTTTGCTTACGTCTGCGCTACAGTATTTCCCTAATATAATCCGCAAATTATTACCATCCGCCTAAAACACCATTATTACCATTAAATGACTTCATCTTACTTTAATGTACAACTTTTTTATATACCAAAATTATCAGAAATGGGATTTTTCATCATTAAATTAATTAATCTAATTAGTTATTTTGAACTCATGAATACTCATTTTCTTTCCACTTGAATTTAAAGATATTTTGATCACAAAATTGACAAAAAAATTAACCAAGAAATAGATTGGACCGTCTTGGGGTGACCTCCACACCCAACATGCCAAAATAACAAGGTTATATAGACCAGGCGTTACCATATTACTGAATGTCACATTTTTCTCGTGATCAAATGTTTATTTCTCGATTACGAATTCATAACGAAGTTTTAATGAGTTTTTAATAACTCATTGAATAGACTAGATTTGCTAGTCTCCAGATTGATAACGTTTCTTTTGCGAGACATTGTAAATAAAAAAGTTACGATAAGATGGAACCAATTATGAGGTTTTATACAGATGTTAATAAGAGAGAGTAATACTTTTATTAAACGTAATGCTGTCCTACTAAATAGGGCTGCTTAATACTCAGCATACCTATCATTCCATATGGGCATAATCATCTCATCATATTACATTTACATTTACACACACACACACACACACACACACACACACACACACACACACAGATATATATATATATATATATATATATATATATATACACACACATATATATATACATGTCTTTCCTTTCTTTTTTTTTAGTACCGCGAACTAATATACCTATTTTTCAAAACGACTCATTTGATTGCATATAAAGCTAGGAGTATTTGGAAAGTAGTGTAGAGTGGTCTCGTATAATTTTTATCAAATTCTACTAAAAATTTGAAATTATCTGTGTTTAAATGTTAGCAATATAATGGCTATGGAATGTAATGCGAGAGAACAAAATGGAAAGAGCCCATATATGTTTAAACGGTAACTCTTCTGTAATCCATGTGACGGGGATAACACCTACTTGACACACTCTAACACAAGATTTTCTGACCTGTTTGCCCGTGGACCACATTAAGTTATCTTCTAAGTCCCGCATTCTATTAAGACTTGCAATATGTCACTCGGTACATGGCTTCTGATGAAAAAATAAAACTTGTTCTATAAATGACACTTCAGTTGTGAAATGAGCTTACTAAGGGAAACAACTCATGCAATAAGTGTAGTACTAACCTTGTGTTTCTTAGATTTACTTAATTTCATATTTTTAAAATAGTTTCTGAAGTTCCACCATGAAATGAAGGAAACTTTCACGGGGCGGATTGGAGGTACTTATGGGCCGTAATTTAGAGAGCTTTGCTAACATAACGCACTATAATTGAACTTAATTATTTAAGTTGGGTGATGATTGAAAATTATGTGATGTGCACACAGAGCTTGATTGTTTGCTTGTTTCTGTAAATATTTCTACAAGTCAACGATTCGTCAACCTAAACCCAGGTTACCATTATCTAAAATTGGAACCGGAGCAAATTAGTACAGCGGCTCATTTCCGTATTTTAATTTCATCAATAATAATAATAGAACTAAATATTATGGCACTAATAACTAACAATAAAAACCAACAAGTACATAATTCTCTTCTAATGACAAGACTTTAATGCATAGAAGGGCATAATCATAATCAAAGATAATGATTAGGATTATAATAAATAAAATAACACGATTATTTGATTACACGATTGTAATCGTAATCACAGCCACGATTTCTATTGTAATCGCGTAATCAGAAAATTGTAATTATAATAAATGAAATCAAAATCGATGTAATCGTAATCACGTGATAGTAATCATGTAATCGGAACCAGAAAAAAGCATCTCTGTTGAGAGATAGGCGAAATTTTTTTTTTTTTTTTCTGACCCCCCAGAAACTTTATTTAACACTACTTACAACATACATCTATGATGAATGTATATACATTATTATTTGACCTTTGCTTACTCAAGGGTATTTTAAGGTAAATGACAGTTTATGCCGTAAGCATAGGATACTTTCTGTTGCCTTAGGCTTTAATCCTAGAGATAGGCGAAAAAGAATGTACATAGTATTTTTATAAGAACAGTTCTTCCTCTTCCCCACAACATAACTGTGGACCGGTATATAGATGAAATCCGAAAAGTTACTCGAAAGCATAATCTTGGATCCGATATACTATCATTATGTAATATTACAATTACAGTGATTTTGATTTTGAGACATGGTTACAGAAACAATCAATGGAAAAATCTGGCTCTGTTTGTACATCACACAATTCTCAATTACCACCCAACTTAAATAATTATGTTTCTGGCCATTTATAGTGTGTATTTAATAGCTATTAATAACAATTTGATAATTTATTTTTGTTTTTCGCAATTAAAAATATGTATTCTATTACCAACAATTAATTAAAATGCCTAATATGTACATAACAATGAAAAAACTGAAACCACGATGCACTTAGCGGCACACTACCATAGTTTAAAAAAAATACTTATTAACTTTTATAACCTTGTAAGTACAGAGAATGTTAGTTAAACTTACTTCACTTAATTAGTTTTATTAACGATCTGATTATAATTATTCCAGCGAAAGAAGTCATTAAGTATCAGAA